TTTATATTTAATCCATTAAATTATTATTTCAAATTAAAACGCGACAATTTTTTTTTAAAATTTAGATTGATAATTTAAAAAAGTAACTCGAAACTAAAATTTCATTGAAAAGCTTAGCCTATAAGCTTGAATCAATACTTTTATTTTTCATCCCCAAACGCGAGAGTGGCATGGTAGTTTTTTTAACTCAAATATCACTCCTTAAAAATTATGTATTATTATGATATCTATTTATATATTTTAGATTAATATTTTTTAATTCATGAAAACTAAAATACATCTTACTTATTGTGTTTTTTTTTCTACGCGACAACGGTACAAATATATGTTGAGTTAAATAAACGAAAATTAAAAAAATCAAAATAATATATTATTTTTATAAATCTTAATCTAAAAAGAAAGAAACACACACAAGCACGTGCTGAGCTACGACGACAATGTGTATATATTAGTCTTATATTCAATCACTCAATAAATGCAAGTTTAAAATGCTATATTTAAATACTTGTAAATTCACATATCTAAATAATATGAAATTTGAAAATCTTATGAGCTTCTTAAATCTCATATTATCTAATTACGAGAATTTTTGAATATTTAAATATAGTGTTTAAATATATATTTATTGATTAATTGAAAATAATACTAATATATGTGTGTTGTTATCTAACTTATGCTCATAAAATTATGTGTTTATCTTTATTTTGGGATAAAATTAATGTATTTTTCTATATATTTTCACTCTTACTTTTATTTTATTTATCTTTCCAGTTCAAATTTAAAAATTCGATCGACTTTTGTCAAATCAATAAATCTAAGTTTGAGCACCATTAATGTTAGAAATATAAATGTCAAATGTAAAATGATTGAAAATCATCTTCGAACATAACTACATTATACAAACCAAATAATATATTGCTTAATATGTCATAAAAACATGTTAATTTAAAAATAAAAAAATGAATATGACAATGAATAATTTTGTAAATATGTTATAACTGAGTAGGGATGGCATACAAGTTCAGTTTTGTGGGTTACGCACCGTACCCTCTCCAATTGGGGCATGGATGTGTATAAGTTTAATAGATAGCGGATGGGTGTGGATGTAAAAAGTCATACCCGCCGTGGGTATTTAGTAGGTGATGGGTTTGAGATTTTACCCACTCCGCATCCGCCCGTTCCGTATTCGCCCGCCCACTAACTACGCACCATATAAATCTTGTAACATTATGAATTTAGATATAATTTTAAAGACTATTTCATAAATCTTAAGATTTTATATGACATGATTCGTAATTTAACAAAATGTTAGAATATAAACATTTTTAGAATTAAAGATTGTTGTTTCTCTATCTTGAATTGGTAGGTATAGACGGGTTACAATCGAATACAGACGGACATGAGATAGGTAATAAGTATCTAATTAAATAGTGAGTGTAGGAATATATTTTAGAATATACTCACGTGAAAGTGCATAAATTTAAAAAATTCAACCACCATAAGTGATGGATAGATAATAAAGTTGAAAATATTATGAAAGTGTGGGATAAGGAAATGGGTATATGCGCCTGCCTCACCCGTTTGCCATCTTTATAACTGAGTAAACAAACGGCCACCATGGAAATATGAAGTTCCTGAAAGCAATAATGAGGATAAGATAGGAATTGAGTAAAATGAGAAAGCCCAGACTCTGGAACCACGCGTCCATCAAACGCAGCGAATCGTACGGTGACTTAAAATATGGCCTTTTTATCATATCTGGTGGTCGCATTTAAGGAAACCTCTTGTTTGGTCCTTGTTCCGTGATTCCAGGGTTTTAACTTTTAACACGCGCCATCATCCATAAGCGTACTTCCCACTTTTAACTCTTTGTACTTCCTTGTATTTTATTCACTTTTCCTATTTTAATCATATCCTACTTAAAGAGTCCAGCGATTTGACCTAAATATCTCTCTATAAACATAATATGTACCAAATAACACCGTTGACTAATATTTCTCTAGTTAACATCCTTTCGTCTGAGATGGTAATAAAGTGCGCTTCTGATAACGCGTTTTAGCATGATTTTAGCTAACTGGGATGACACGCGAGAAGGCGCATTTTCGAAAACGCGCCTTACATGAGTTTCTGTTAAATGAGATGTCAGGCGGGTAAGCAGCATTGCAGGCAACGCGCCTTCCATTAAAAGTTATTTAGGTGGTGTTTGTTTTTACAGAGGTAAAAGGTTTGCAGTCTGCGGACCGCATCTGCAGGCATCTGCAGCAGAAGAGGTGGACTAAAAGTCTGTAGTCTGCAAGAAGAAGACTGTTTGTTTTTTAACGTATGCAGACTGCTAAAATGAACTGAAATATAAATAAACTGATTTTTTAAACTTAAAAGAGTTTTGCAATACTGAGATTTAAATAATTTTAGTTTTACAATACTGAAATTTAAATAATCCATACAACTATAATAATAAATTATTTAAAATAAATTAATCTATATTTTAAAATAAATCAATCCATACTAATAAATTATTTAAAATAAATCAATCCATACAACTACAATAATAAATCAATCCATATTTTAAATTAAATCAATCCATACAAATAAATTATTTAAAATAAATCAATTCATACTAATAAATTATTTAAAATAAATCAATCCATATTTTAAAATAAATCAATCCATACTAATAAATTATTTAAAATAAATCAATCAATATTTTAAAATAAATCAATCCATACTAATAAATTATTTAAAATAAATTAATCCATATTTTAAAATAAATCAATCCATTACTATACTTTACCCCTATATCAATTAGGATAGAATATAATGATAAGAGATATTATATATACTCTTAAAGAGAGAATTTTAAACTTTAATGATAATACTATTAAGAATCATAACCACTAACCATAAAACTTATACAATAAAATATTAAATGGGAACTCATGTACTGGTTCAAACCAGTATTATAATGAACCATTGTCCCCACCAACATGTTATCATCTTTATCACTTGATGGAACATGTAGAGATTAATTAGTATATATACATATATATATATATATATATATGTGCGCGCGCGTGCGCGCAGGTACAACATCCAAAGCACAAGACAATTAGCAACACAAGAGAAACAGTCAAAGATGTCTAAGGTTAGGAAGAGAGCTGTTCTGGTGGGATGCAACTACCCAAACACCAAGCTCAGGTTGCAAGGATGCATCAATGATGTGTCAAGCATGGAAGAGTTGATCGTGAACGAATTTGGCTTTAATCAAGACAATGTTAAGTACTTGGTTGATGAACCAGGCACGTAGCCTGAGGGTTTGCCTACTCGTGCAAACATTATGGCTGCACTCGAGGAGATGGTGGATGCTTCTGCATCAGGTTATATACTGTTTTTTCACTTCAGTGGACATGGAACAACCTTTTCATCCTTGAAACTTGGCGAATCTTACCAGGTAGAAGAAGCAATCGTTCCTTGTGATTTAAATCTCATCACCAGTAGGTTTCTTTCGTATGACGTGTTTCCTTTTGTTGTTTTATATATCTGTATCTAATCATGGTTGTGCAGACATGGACTTGAGGCGCTTGATTCAAAAGCTACAACCAGGAACAAGCTTCACAATCCTATCAGATTCATGCCACAGTGGCGGACTGATTGACAAAGATAAAGAACAAATTGGACCTACTAGAATGAAGGGTATACCACTTCCAGTTTACTACAAGTCTAGGGGCATTTCTATTGGATCCATAATGGATTACCTGCATTCGGTTACGGGTGCATCCAAACTGGAACAAATATTGCGATAGGTGTTGCAAATGCCGTAAGCACCGGGGCAAATATTGTGGAAAATATTGGCTCTGGTTTCTCAACAATCTTTAACAAAGAAGTGAGCATCTTGCATCACATTCCGACCGGAGCATGAGCAAAGGGCGGTGATGAAGGCGAGGTACTGACGGAAGGGTCTTCTTTTGAGTGGATGCCAAGCCAATGAGACATCGGCAGATTTGGAGGGGAGCCCGCTTACCGAAGGAAAAGCTCACGGGGCGTTTACCTAGCAGTGGTGAAGGTACTGAATCAGAACAAAGGGTTAACCAACAAACAGCCATTATTTTGGGCCGTGACATATACTATATAAAATAATACTATAGGTAGGTAGCTTGTGATAATAGAAAAAATGCTTTAATAAATTTCAAGTCCAATTTTCCCAAGTTGCTATGTATATTAAATAAAGGGTAAAGTATATGAATGGTCACTGAACTTTTTTAAAGCTTTCATTTAGGTCCTTTAACTTTTAAAACTTGCAATACAGTCTCCCAACATTTAGTATGTTTTCAATATGGTCCCCCAATATTTAGTCTGATTGTAATATGGTCCCCGACGTAACTATTGGGGGACCATATTGCAAAATTTAAAAGTTAGGAGACCTAAATGAAAGCTTTAGAAAAGTTCAGTGACCATTACTGTACTTTACTCTATTTTTTAAATAGTTGTTATACTTTTTTAAAAAAATAATATTATATTTTTTATTAAAAAATATTTATATAATTATTATTTATTTAAATATATTAATTAATTATTATTTGTGCTAATTATATTTGTTTGCCTACAGTTATAATGTAAAGCAAAATGCTACTACGATTAGATGAATGATATCTCAAGACATTTTAATGATATGATAATATTTTTTTTAAATTTATGTTAATGTTTATTATTTTTTTTAATTTAAATTTATCATGAATTTATATTAATTTTAAAATTTTGAAATATTTATTAATTAGGAAAATGATCGTATTTTGGAGACATTTATTCGAAACACGAAGATACTGACGTCAACACGTATTTGGTCGTATCTGTCTTCTGCCAGATTCGGGTATATTGCGAAAGTTGTTGGCGGTTGCAAACTCCAACCCATCCTAATTTTCGCATTAATTAAGAGGTGGAGACCGGAGACACACACATTTCATCTTCCATGGGGAGAGTGTACAATTACATTGGAGGATGTCTCAATGCATTTGCGGCTTCCTGTTGATGGAAATATTATGTGTGGTGTGACCGATGGTGATTGGTATTCAATATGCATGGAGTATCTTGGAGCTGCTCCGCCAGATTTCAATGGAGGTAGAATATCTTTATCATGGCTAAAAGTCAATTTTGAAGTTTTGAATGAAAATGCTTCTGAGGATGAAGCAAAGACATGTGCTCGGGCTTATATACTACGAATCATTGGAGAAATATTAATGCTCAACAAATCTCGCAATCAGATGTATTATATGTGGTTGCGTCATCTTATTGATTTTGATGAAGCAGGAAGATACAATTGGGGTGCCACAGTTTTGGCATTTCTCTTTAGAGAAATGTGTCGTTCAACGAATTATAATAAAACTGCTATAGGTGGATGTCTCATGCTTCTCCAATCATGGGCGTGGTTCCACATGCCTTTCTTATGCCCGATCGTTAATAAACCATATGTATTCTCCTTATTATTGAGGTAATTTTAGAACTAAATTTTGATTTAAATATTTTTAATTAAATAGGGTGATATTTAGTTTATATTATATTTCATAGGTGGTCGATGAAAAGAAAGAATCATAGAGATATCCCTAGTGAACTAGAGGAAAACCGTTAACCCTTATGTAATTGCATTTTCTATTTCAATGAATGTCTTTGTTTCTAATATTTAAATGTAATTGCATTTTCTATAATTTCCCAATGTATGTGTATTTTCTACCTAAATTTTCCACTTACCTCTTACTTCAAGTAATTAACATTTTCAATTTAATCGAACATTACCCTAAAGTACTTTAACCTACACAACCTTAATGAACCTTTGACCTACAAAATCCTTCACCACTTTTACCTTAACAAAACATATAACACTTTAACCTAAATTCACTCCACCTTAAATACAAAATTAAAAAATATCTTTGACAATTCTTAAATCATAAACGGAACAATTTACATAATAAATTACTAATTTATAATAACTCTAAACCATAAACCTCAAATCTTTACCCTAACTAAAAAATAAAGCAAAGACGCATACCTTGAAATGCTCTTTCCACCGTGACGCCACATCAGCTGAAAAGAGCATCACCGGAAACACGCCTTATGCCCACATAAGCAAATCCTGCTAAAGCGTGTTATCGGGAGCGCGCCTTATTGCCACCTCAGACGAAAGGGTTTAGTTAGAGAAATATTGGACAAACGATGTTATTTAGGGCCTATTAGATTTATAAGACGATATTTAGGTCAAATCGCCAAAAAGCTCTGCATTCGTTAGATATTAATTTAGTTTACAAATATTTAAAAATAACCATTTAAAAATATTTTTATATATTATAAAATTCAAATAAAATAATTAAAACTAACTGTTAAAATTTCAACCACAAAACTCAAAAATCTATTACACATCCAATTATACTTATTTATTAAATAAACTTTTATAACGTCTCGTTTACAAAATTTAATAATTTAATGAATATATGTTTGTCTTTATGCAAATAGAAATAATTAATTTTATTGATAAATAAAAAATATCTAAAATTATAATGAAGGTTTACCATCATAAATGAAAATTAAATATATAATTAGAACTTTTTCTAAAACCATTAACACGAGAAACTAGTCAGTAGAGATCACACAAAGATTATTTATGAAAAAAATAAAAAATCTGACAAAAGATAGATACGAACATATCTAACAATATCGACAATCTAACTACAAAAATGAATCAAGGTACTAAAAGGCCACTAACAAATTGTAAATTAAAGTAGAGCGATATGAGAAAACTATCCATGAACGTAAATCACGTAACTAAATCTAATATGAGGGTCAAAAATAGAAAAGATCAATATAACAACGAATGAGCGTAATCTTGATCAGTCTTGACGATATTAAATTCTATCTCAAAAAAGATAAACAAAGAGAATGACCAAATGACAAAAAAAAAATACTAAAAGACAAAAAATTATCAAAAATGAATAATTATTAGAAACAAAGATACTATGAAAGAAAAAATAAAATATTAACAATCTCGATTAACATCAAGATTGAGTAAAAAATGAAAGAAAATAATAAATCGCATTAATGTCTTTTTAATCCGAACAGACGAATATTTACAAAATCACAACAAAAGAAAATGTTAATTTCAATAATTTTCTATACATTATGGGCTAGTTAATTTGAAAAAGTAAATTTTAAAAGAACAGTAGAAAAGAATTTTTCGAAGCATCGTTTAAAAGTACAATTTAAAATTTAATTATTTGAATTAATTTTTAAAAAATGAGTTTAAAAACAAAAACATAAAATAAAAAATATTTTATAGAACCAAACGGACCCTAAATGTTTCAATAATATCAAAATTTTCCAATAAATAATAGTTAGGTATATTGGATAAACCCAATGATTTTGAAGTGTTAGTTCTTTGAATTTTAGATTTCGAAAATATATAATTTAAATAATACAAAATACAAATATTAAAATTATAATTATAATTTATGTAGATGGGATGGAATATAGAAAATTTGACCCATGTATATGTAGCATATAAAATAGGAAGTCACATAAATCATACCAAACATGTAACATCAATATCACTATTAAAAATGACAAATTCTTTATGGAAATATAAAGTTAATCAAACCATGACTTAAAAAGCACATGTTTAAGGAAGCCAACGATACTGCAATAAATAAAATAATTGTGACAACTTGAAAAGGAAATATTACAAGAACCCAAGGAAAGAAAGCGACTGTTATTTTATGTTAGTAAAATTATATTCAAAGATTTTGAACAATTATCGTATTTATGTTAACCATAAACATATTGGTACGTGCTTTCGAACAAATTTATTTAGTATAGAATGAATTAAATTTAAAAGATATAAATTTTATTAATAATCCATTAGTTTATTTATCTAGATCGATTCGGGTCGTATATTTATTTTTAATGAGGGAGTCTCCTTGATAGAATTTTCTGCAAACATAAAGACTAAAACTTGAGATTTTAGTTAAACGATATTAAGCTACTTACCACTTGAAGCACTCTTGTTGATGACGTTTTATTTTTATCGTAGCTAATACATGGAAATTAAGGAGTGGTTCGACATTATATTCCTTTTAACTATGAATTTGAATAGTTTAGTTTACAAATGTATATAAGTTTTTTTTCATATTTAAAATTAAACATAAATATTACCTTATAATTTTTCAAAGTAATATAGGAAAGCAAACAACCTCCAAATGTTTACAATGTGTTTTGTGTTTGAACATCATTAATAAATATCCCAAATCATCCCCTCAAGATCCACTTTACTTAATGTTTGAATTTGGTCCACATACATGAATCCTGGTTTATGGGGAATGAAAAGGGTTCGTTGCACCAACCTGTGTTCATTTTTGGGGAATAATCTCAGCTTCCAATGGAGAATAAAAACAGAAGATCTGATGTCCCCTTTGAAGTTAACAGGTAACAGGTTGCTTATTATTGAATATAGCCCTAAACCAAAGCGGAAGACATTATATCAAGCCTAGGTTCGGCTGATCATATTCATGGACAGTGGCAGAAGGTCTCAAAATATAGTGTAATCAAGCCAGCCAGCTAAGCTGCTTTTTTGTAACCAAACATGTGACAGCTGACTTTGCCATTGTTCAGGAAATTAACATAAAAGAGGAAGAGGTTGAGATTGTAATGCTTTTGGGTCCTTTACATTGTTTCGGCCTAACAAAGTGGCCCAAATTGAAAAGACATGAATCATCTTTGGACATGAGAGAGTTGAGTTGAGATATCAATAAATAGTCGTTTAGAAATATTTGAAAAGTAACTTTTTGTAGCTGTTAGAACCCGTCATGTGGGCGTGACGAGTTTCAACGGTCATTTTGAAAAATTTTCACTATAATAGGAGTCGAGTTAATAGAGTTATATGGGAACCAAATCATGCATTTGTGGGAAAAATATTTCAGAAATTTTTCGAAAAATCATTTTGGGTCTAATTACTCTGACATTGATGATTCAGAATCAAGCTCGTTTTAAGATGAGGAGTGGGTAAAAGAGTTAATGAAGTTGATTCTTGATCAACATAAGAAGAAGAAGAAGAAGAAAAAGAATGAAACCAAACCGACGCAGCAAACGACTTATCGAGAGGAATGAAAAGAAAAAAAAAAGAATAATGTAAAAAATTAAGAGGAAGAAAAAGAGGAAAAGTTGTTTATTTTGTTGAAAAAATATTATATATATATATATATATATATATATATATATATTGAGAGTTTAGTTCAACGTTATTGATAAATAAAGATTGTTATTGATATTGATAAATTATTCAAAACAAGTACAATTGACAACACGAGAATACAATTACAAAGGTTTTATCTACCCGATCGATATTTTGAAATATGTGGACAGTGCTTATTGTTTTGGCCTTATCCTCTGCAGTGGCCACAAAGCTTCAGCAGATCTTGTTCTCGTTGAGGATCATCCATATCAATGTATGTTGGGGCCAATATCATTCGTAATTGTGGATTAGGCAACCATTCTTCAGTAACAGTTGGTGGCCAATATGCATCGTTTGAGAGATATTTAAAGTCACAATTGTATATGCTACGCATAGTATGCATGCTATAACAATCATCAGTGTATGAATATGGGTGTACATTCACATGCATACATACGGCAACCGCGTGAACGCATGGATATATGAAGGCTTGAAATCAACCACAATCACACCATCTTGTATTAAGATTATCAGTGTAGGTTGCAGAATTTCCACCCTCACGTGGTCGAACAAGTGCTTGGACAACGTAATTAAAATTGAGTCTAACAAAATTATGAACATACATTAATGTTGCATGTGTTTGATTTTTGTTCATTGCTTTCTCCAGATCTTGCCTAATTTTTGCCTTCGTTAATCATTATCTCTACTGGGGCACATTTGTCTTCCCATACTTTACCCAATATGAAGTACATCTCCCGAACCATACTTGCTACCGGAAGATGTCTAGTCCCTTTAAGCACTAAATTGATACATTCGACAAGATTGGTTGTCATATGATCGTAACGTCAACCTTGATCATCATATGCCTATGGCCATATTTCCCGAGGTATTTCAGCTGCAAACTTATAAACCTCTTCCCCATATTTCCTAAGTTTTTCCAACCTTGCACAGAAGTTCGGTTGTAGTAAAACATATCCTGAAATAAAAAAGTTAGATTTAAGTAAAATAATATGTGAACATAAATAAAGGAAAATAAAAGAATAAGTTACTCATATTGATAATCTTTTTCTTGGTATTCTTATTCTTAAACCTCGTCATATCATTGAATGCAATATTACGTATACAATATGCCAGAAATACATCGGGAGGCGACCACATACTTACCGATTTGTCAATCGTGGACAACAATCCAGGTGAACTGTTTGAGATCATACAAAACCCATATTGTGGGACAACATGGGAACACAAGTTTGACGTAAAAAAATTCACGTTTCTTCATAC